GGAGGGTGAGGGCACCCCCCCCCCACCCCCCCCAGGTCAGCCTGAGCTGCTTCTTCCAGCGAGCAGCATTAAGGGGTCTGCTCCAGGCTTTGAGCAGGCTGTGGAGCTTGGTACCTCCAGTGCGTGTTGAGCCAGGGCTAAGCAGCTGCACTTTTTAGGAGCAGCACTCAAAAAGGAGGTGCTAGCCTGTTGTGGCTCATGTTATACTATGTTTATAGTATTAGTACTATTAGTACTATTAGTATTAGTATACTATTAGTATGAGCGTAGCATATAGAGGGGTGGTTGCCCCTCATCAAATCCTAGCCACAGGAACCATATTCCTTTCCAGCTGAAGACCCGCCTAAAGCAAAGCTTGCAGCTTCAAGGGAGGTATGGACCTTCTCTGAACTCTCATCCCTGCGCAGCAGGAGGGGTTGCTGCGTGGGCTTAGGCAAGGTGTTGGGTTCATGTCAGGCAGTGCCTGCCTGTGCCGATCAGCCCTGTGAGCGCCCGAGAGCAGCGTCAGTGCAAGGCAGGAGGGACAGCATCAGAGGCTGTCTCTTTTGCCCCAACACAACCCTCCTTCCCCTCCCATGCGCCTGCTGTGCCTCAGGATTATTTTGTTAGCTGTATGTGTGAGTAGAGGTGGCCTTCACAGCCTGCGGTGAGGTGGGACTGTTCACGACGCAGTCGCTATTCATGTGTGGTGGGACATGGAGGTGAGCTGTCCCCCCAGCCCTTCCCACCCCCCGGTGGGGTGGTTCGTGTGCATCCGCACCCCGGGATGTGGCCGTGTACCATGTCCTATGGACCCCCTCGTTGCCTCTGCTTAGAATCATAGAATCATTAAGGTTGGAAAAGACCTCTAAGGTCATCGAGTCCAACTGTCAACCCAACACCCCCATGCCCACTAAACCATGTCCCTAAGTGCCTCATCTACACGTCTTTTAAATACTTCCAGGGATGGGGACTCCACCACTTCCCTGGGCAGCCTGTTCCAATGTTGAACCACTGCTTCTGGGTTTGTGGCTCGTCCTTCCCCCCACAAACCTCTCGTGAACCTCTCGTGGTGTGCACGGGGCTCTGGTCTAACGCCTGCTGCCTTTTCCACAGCCCGATGCTCACGTACCGCGTAGATGCTGACAAGGGGTTCAACTTCTCAGTGGGTGACGACGCCTTTGTGTGCCAAAAGAAGAATCACTTCCAGGTCACGGTCTACATCGGCATGCTTGGAGATCCCAAGTATGTGAAGACCCCCGAGGGCCTGAAACCCTTAGAGTGCTTCTACCTGAAGCTGCACGGAGTGAAGGCAAGCGGGAGCTAAGGGCCAGTAGTGAATCCAGCAGGGAGAAGGGGTGCTTGGCAGATGGCTGGGATCAGGCAACACCACGTCTTCGTGTGCTAAGTTGTAGGGGAGCGTGTAGGAAAGTGCTGAAGGCCAGAACAAGGCAGATCTTGAAATGCGAGTCCTAAGATGGACTCCACAGGAGGGCTGAGCAGACAGATGGCCTGTGCAGAGGCTGGGGAGAAGGAGGTGGGAAGGGGAAGGTCTCAGCTTTCCGCTCTTTGTCACATGCCCAAATCTTTCTCTCCAGCTAGAGGCCTTGAACCAGTCGATCAACATAGAGCAGTCACAGTCTGACCGCAGCAAACGGCCCTTCAACCCTGTCACGTGAGTATTGCCCAGGATATGTTCCTGTGGGGGAATTGCTACCAGGGAATAAGCAATAGCAGGAGAGGGTGGGGAAAGGGGCTGAGTCGGAGGCCTTGGGATGGTACTGTGGGTATCCCACTTTCCAGTTTTCTCCTCTGTTTCCCACAGCAAAGTTTTCCTCTCTTTACATTCCCCACTCTGCTCTGTGCCCAGTTCGTAGACCTGCCTTGGTGGAGCAGGCCAGGAGACGGCCATTCCCCAGAGAACCTCCTCTCCAGCGGTGTCCTCACTCACTCCTCTGTTTTCCTTTCCTCAGGGTCAACCTGCCTCCAGAGCAGGTCACCAAGGTCACCGTGGGGCGGCTGCACTTCAGCGAGACCACAGCCAACAACATGCGGAAGAAAGGCAAACCCAACCCAGACCAGAGGTGAGGAGCCACAGATGCCTTCTCCAAGCCGTTCTGAGCACTCAAGGCCTGTGGATGTGCCAGTCCCCGGGTTGGGGAGTGTGGCTGGAGGGAGGGGGACACGGGGGACAGGTCCTGAATTGCCCGTCCTTGTCTGTGCGGAGGAAAGGAGGTGTCTGCTGTGGCCACAAGAAGTGTCTCCCCGACTCTGTGAGGGGTTGGGGACAGTGCCTGTGCTCCACAGCACAAGGAGAGGGGACGTGCCGAGCCCCCCGTGACAGCTTGGTGCCTCGGCCTCCAGAGGGGAAGCAGACTCGGCAGTTCCCAGTGCGGGATGGCACCCTGACCTCTCTCCCCTCTTGGCAGGTATTTCATGCTCGTGGTAGCCTTGCAGGCACACGCGCAGAACCAGAACTACACGCTGGCAGCCCACATCTCTGAGCGCATCATCGTCAGAGTAAGTCCCTCTCTCCTCCCTTAGCCTCGATGGGTGCCCCGCAGCCCTTTGCTGGATGTCCTGGGTGATCCTCCTACCTTCCTCTGGCTTTTCAGTGCTTTCTCCACCCAGCCTTTGCCTACCTTCTCCAAACCGTCACTGCCTTGCTTGTAGCTATACCTATCCGTACCTGGGTTCTGGCTCCAGCCTTTCCACGAACTGCTTAGTCAGAGCAGCCTCAAAGCATGCAAGAACCTGTTGCAAGACAGGGAAGGCATCCCATTCTCCCAAGGCTGGACCAGCGTCTGGGGTAGAGCTGTTGGGAGTGGGGGAACAGTGTCGTTGGGACTCTCCACCAGGGACAAGGCCTACAGGTGCAGGAAGACTGGGTACCTTCCCAGGGCGGCACCTTTTGCACGTGCTGAGGTGGCAGCGCTCAAATGGGAATGCAGAGGAGCAGGAAGAGATAGGCACCATCCCCAGAGTCTCCCGGGGCCCTGCTAGAGCACTCAGCTGTGGGACATGGAGGCAGGGTGTAGAACACAAACAGAGGGACCTCAGAGTCTGCAGACAAGTAAGTCCACAATGAATTATGCGGCCTCCAGTGTGCCCAGCGCAGAACTGCAGGGAATTGCAGGCAGCCTGGACTGCCCCGTCTCAACCTGCGAGTGGGACACAGAACCACGGCAGCAGGGCAGAACCCCAGGATTTGGGACCCGGGAGCAACAGCCACATCACTTGGTCTCCTGCTGTCCTGCGTGATTCTGGTTGGGGTTGTTGGAACAGCTCTGGTAGCCGTGATAACAGGCAGCTCAGGAAAGCGAGGATATTCCTTTAGGGAGAGGAGCAGAACAGGCGTAGCCTTGGTTCCTGCAGAGAGAGGCTTAGACAGGGCCAGCAGATGAATGCCAAAGCTGCCTCTGCTGTAAGGGCAGGCTGGGACCCGTTCCCAGGGCTGGCAGTGGATCCCTGCCCCTGCCACTTTGCCTTGTGCTGCTCCAAAGCTCTGTCTCGCACCTCCATGGCCTTGCTTGTCCCCTGCTGGCTCTGCCCTGCCTGTCTATCCAACTCCCTGCCGTCCCTCCTGTGAGGCTGGGGCTGCCACAGCTCAGCCTCGAGGTCTTCCTAGGGCTGTAATTCAATGTGCTGTGGGCTGGAGAAGGCACCCGTGCCAGGATCTCGTGACCTGGACTGTTCATCCCAAAAGCCCCTTCCCACTTCTCAGGGTACCTGGATGAATATGCTCCAGTTTCAGCTGAGATCTTCCCTCTCCCCGTTTCCCTTCTGTGGAGTAAGGACACTGCTGTGCCATCAGGGTCCTTCTGCTTACGCCAAGCTTTGTTTCGCAGCTGTTTCCCACCCACGCTGCTGCAGTAGGGTGCCTGGCACTGTCCAGGCCACCAGAGCAGCCTGGGGCTCTCTGACGTCCATCTGTTGCCCATGGCCTCTCCTGCTATACAGTCCTTCTGCAACGTGCGTAGAGGGATGGGTCTGTGGGGCTCTCCTGGCAGCCTCGCTCTGTCCACATCTCAGAGTGCCTCTGCCCAGCAGCCCTGCAGCATTTCTCTCCCTGGTTTTGCTACTGCTGCTTTTCAGTCCCCACTTTCCTGTCTCTCCACAGGCCTCTAACCCCGGCCAGTTTGAGAGTGACAGCGATGTGCTCTGGCAGCGGGCACAGCTCCCTGATACTGTTTTTCACCACGGCCGGGTTGGCATCAACACAGACCGCCCCGATGAAGCCCTCGTGGTCCATGGCAACGTGAAGGTCATGGGTTCGCTGATGCACCCTTCAGACGTCCGAGTGAAGGAGGACATCCAGGAGGTGAGAGCCAGGCAAACCAGGCTAAGTTTGCGGTGGTCAGGGGTCTGAGGAGGCACCGCAGAAAGTGTGAGTGTCCTTGTGAGCCTGTTTCAGCTGCTGATTTTGACATAGTCCTTATGGGCAGCCTGAGCTCCTGACCAGATGGGAAGTGCCTTAGAAGTCTGGCTGTCCCTGGCTGTCCCAAGCACAGCCTGTCCAGCGTTTCTTAGGGAACATCGACTCTTCCGCTGTTAGCCAGAACTAGCAAATGCAGAAGTTACAAACCTGGAAACATCAGATAGCACACTGGGGCTTGCCAGAGCGTGGGTGAGAGGCTCAGCTCTGCTCTGAAGTTGTCTCAGCTGGATGTGCCTGTCCAGAAAAGCTGGGTACAATCATGTCTCGTATTTATGAGAACTGCCTCTGCCCTGCGCCTGGTTGTGCAACGGGACTCAGTCTCCTCCTGGCTTCGCTACCCAAGGAACTTGTCCAGTGACAAGAACTGGAGATTAACCCCAGTGCAAATGCTGTTTGTCCTAATAGCTGGTCTGAGCAGGGTTCAGGGCTGTCTCGTGAAGGGCTGTCTCACAAAGGTATTACCATGAGCCATGGTGGGTTTTGCTGCTTGGAGTCAGTCATGGGAACTTAAGAAGCAACACCCCGCTTAGGAGTTGCATGTGTCTGTTTCGTCCCAGGTGGACACCACAGAGCAGCTGAAGAGGATCTCCCGTATGCGGCTAGTACACTACAACTACAAGCCCGAGTTTGCAGCCACGGTGGGCATTGACAACACCTCTGAGACGGGTACGGGCCCTGCGTCACACCGCGGTGAACTGCTGGCATCTCCAGCACTGGACCTTGCGTTCTGCAACCTACAGCGGCATTTTGTCTGTGGCGTCAAGCGGCACTGCCCTGCCTTCCCTGGCGGCTGTACCCAGCTCTGCCCTGGGGCAGCCCCCCAGGCGTGGGGTAGGAGAGAGGGGGCTTCTCACCACCTGAAGTTTAGGCATCTAATGAAATTCCCTCGTGGGTGAGCGGGAGAGAAGATGGCACTTCCCACAGGTGGCTTATAGGGCTTCTGTGATAAGGCTTCCCCAAGTACCCACCTCCCTTCAGGGGTACAGCTACACACTACAGCGGGGTGATGCAAATACCCCTGTCCACGTAATCTGGGAACCAGCCTTGTCTGAACAGCCTCTGCTCTTCTGTGGCTGAGCCTGTGTGGGCTGCCCAGGCCACGGGGCCTCCAACGAGCTCTGCCTGGCCCTGTACAGGCTGGGGTGAGGGGAGGACAGCCCTTGTGTCATCCCCAGTGAACAGGATTCCTTTCCGCATGGGCCAGAGAAAGAGCTGTGGCAGGAGAAGCCCTGTCCAGACCCCCTTGACCCACTGTGCTGTTTCCACGCAGGCGTCATTGCTCAGGAGGTAAAGGAGATCCTCCCTGAAGCTGTGAAGGACACCGGGGACCTGGTCTTTTCCAATGGGAAGACCCTTGAGAACTTCCTGGTGGTGAACAAGGTTGGTGGCAGCCAGGAGGGGCAGGGAGGCTGGGGAGGCTGTTGAACCTGGCTCAAGGGAGTTGTGGAGCTGGAAATGGAAGAGGGAAACTGCGATGCCTGGGAAATGCTTCTAGGCCAACACCACTCATGAGAGTTTCAGACCTGGCTGGTCTTTCAGATGTCAGGAGCAGCCCTGGGTGGACGGCAGACATCAGCAGGGAGGAACTAGCCTGTGATGCTGGTGAAAGTTGGCAGCATCTCCCTCAGGACGGGCTCCTTGTTGGCAGCCTCCTGTAGGGAGGCTCTTAGTCATAATCTCTCCTTTCTAGATAAGATAAGGTGGTTATGTCAAGATAACTCGGAGCACCTGGCTGCCTGACCTCTCCATAACCTGTGGCAGCCTGTTTGCTGCTCTGGGCATCGAGGGGGCAGCCTCCCATAGCACACACCGAGGGGACAGCCTCCCAAAGCTGCCAGCTCTCTCCTGCGTCACTCTGTCCAGAGTAGGAATGGCCAGGACTGACCTTAGTGCCTTGTTTCTCCTTTGTGGAAGCCTAGATCCCTGTAGTTACATCACCAGCTAGCAGTGGCTGTGAGCGTGACCTTTTCTGTCCCATCTGCACGTGGCCGGGCCATTGCTGCCCTTTGTTTCTGTGTACAGCCCTGCTCCACGGGCCGCAGCTCAGCATCAGCCCTCCAACAGGAGCTGGTGCGCGCTGCAGAACAGCCTGTCACAGCAAACTGCGTGGTCTGCTCTAGCTGAGCTCTCCAAAGAGGCATCTACCTGCTGCTACAAATTATCCGTGGTGTCCAAGATCCTCTGAGCGTGGTGCTGGACCGGCACACCAGTGAGATGTTTTGCCTCAGGGAGCTCTGTATGGGGAAGTGGAGTGGCAGAGCCCGAGGGTGGATAAGGGGCAGGGGTGATAGCACGCTGCCGGCAGCAGTACGTGGGATGTGGCTGCAGTTGTGCTGGAGGGAGATGCTTGTGGTGGAACGCCCTGCCTTTACCAGAGGGGCTGCAGGAGGAAGGTGGCTCTCCAGAGGCTTCTGGATTTGGGCTCTCCATTGGTCTGGATCAAGTGTCTGTTGGATAGCGCTGCAGAATAACTCCAGCAGCTTGCACTGTAGAGCAAGAGACAGAGGGCTGGGGAGGGGCGGAGACGGGGTAGATGGGGAGCATTGCTCATGTGATTTGACCAAGGGCTCCTGATGAAGATGGGGACTTTGTGTCTGTCCTCTGTGACTGAGGAGGACTCTCTGGATTAGCACCAGCAGGAGACCTCAGGGATCCTGCGCCAACATTTACTGTTTTGGTTGGGTTTGAAGAGGATATCTCTTGTTCTTGCATCCAGGGGCTGTAGAGATCTAGATGTGCCGTGTTGGATGATTCCCTACCCCCAGAGCTGGGTGTTGTGTAGTCTTTCCTCTGGGGCAGGGCATGGGAGAGCAGTCAGGGCGGCCAGATCCATGGGAGCAGGACTGCCTCCACGTGCCAGGCCACTCAGACTGCTGACCCGATCCCTGGCAGGAGCGCATCTTCATGGAGAACGTGGGAGCCGTGAAGGAGCTGTGCAAACTGACGGACAACCTGGAGACTCGCATCGATGAGCTGGAGAGGTGGAGTCACAAGCTGGCCAAGCTCAAGCGGCTGGACAGTATGAAGTCAACCGTGAGCTCTGGGGCATTCAGGTACGGGCGTGCTGAGGGCACGGGAGCCAGAAGGGATGTCTCATTTTGAGCCCAGGCAGCCCTGAGTGACAGCTCGGTTTAGGAAAGGGGAGATGGGAAGGAGCGGTGGGGTGTTGGCAGTTGTCATTTGGCCTGGGGTAGATTCAAGGAGCTGAGATTGGTGAGACAGGTCTGGCATACACGTGCCAATCTCCTGCTTTCAGACCAGCCCAAAAAACCCCAGTATGAAATTGCCTCCGTGTTTCCCTGGAGGACATGAGTGGCTTTCTCAGGGCAAAGAGTTTCTCATGCTTCCAAAATTGTCATACTGACCCTGGCCAGCTTATGCAGGTTTGGGGGCAGAATTCAGGCGCTCTGGGCAACGGGCCAGCGCTGCACCTACCCCCCGAGCAGATGAAGTGACAAGGGTTTGTGACTGTCCTGCCACACAGAGATTTCTCCCCTACCAGAGAATCACATTTTTTCCTGGGAATCGCTCCGAGTGCTGTCCCTGCACAGCTCGGCTCCATTCCTCTTTTCTCCTTGCAGCCAAACTGGAAGCCAGTTCAGCCGTGCGGGAAGCGTGCCCCACAAAAAGAGACCCCACAAAGTAGCCAGCAAGGTAAGGGCCCGCTCCCAAAGGAGCGACGCTGTGCAGGGGAAGGTGGCCTAAGAAAGGTTGTCTGCATGGTCCTTGTGTGTTTTCTTACGCATGCTGCAGAGGGAGAGACCCTGTCTGCTCCCGTTTCCATGATCTCTCCTTCCTTTTTGTCCGTGCCTAATGAAGACATTATGTGGCTTCTGTGCTGAGGTGGTTCAGGGCTTGCAGGGGAGCTTGGGATGGGCTGGGTGGGATGTGAGCGAGGACCGGAGCAGTAAGGAGTCCTGAGCTGATCTTGGGGTTTTTCTCTTGCAGTCGCCGTCAGTTGTCCCCGAACAGGCCTGCATCAGCCAGCGCTTCCTGCAGGGCACCATCATTGCCCTGGTCATCATCATGGCATTCAGGTGAGACCGCGCACCCGGGCTGCCACTTCTCCGCTGTCTCTCGCCAGCTCATCGGTTTGGCCCGCGCCATCCGTGGGGCGTGCAGCGAGGGGCTGCGGACCTACGGCTTCTTTCATGGGCTGAAATCCCTTGGAAGCAGATCAGTACCGTGACATTGCCCCATGCCCGTCCTCAGCCTGTACCTCTCTCTTTCTTTCCAGTGTGGTGTCCATGTCCACGCTCTACGTGCTGAGCTTGCGCAGTGAAGAGGACCTTGTGGATATCGACGGGTAGGTACTTCTGGGCTCTGTGGGAGGGATGTGGTGACCGGGGGAGTCTGAAGCACAAAAAGCAGTCGCTACGGGGTTATTGACCACGGTTCCAGTGAGTCAAGCTGTAAAGCCAACCAAACACGTCCGCACATCCAAGTCTGATGTCAGTTAAATTATCTTGAGCAAGAAGTGAGGAACAGAGAAGGAGAAGAAAAAGAAAATACCCTGTTGTTTGGCTGCTCACATAGCCACTCGTGGCCAGTCTGAATGTTCTTTGGATGTCTCTTCAGCTGGACTAAAACAGCATCGTCCCACTGATTGCAGCGGGGCTGGACCAGTCTGTACTAGGCAAGAGTTTTCTTCTGCAAACAGTGTCCTTAGTGTGGAGAGAGCATTGAGGGAACGGCCCCAGCCTGGCAAGCCTGCTCATGGGCAGCCTGCGCCGGGCATTCAGTTTTGGCACACTTCACTCCTTTGGGAGCTCGCGTTACCAGATAATGAGTCTCTTTTTCTCTCTCTCTTCTCCCTGTCCTATTTCTCTCCCTCCTGTTCTGGTTACATCTCTCATCCTACCCATTTTCTTTCCACTTTGTCTTTAATTTTCCCATTCTTGTCTTTTCATTTCCATTATCTTCCATTTCCATTATCTTCCATATCCTCTCATCGCCCCCGTCCTCCTCATCTTCTACCAACCTGCCTTTTCTTCCCGTCTCCCTTCACTGTCCTGTAGCTCTTTTGCTGTGCCCACTGCCTGTCTCCTGGCCCTCTTTCGGCACAGGGGTCCTGGGGTCCCGGTCGCTCTATGTCCACGGTATGTTACTGTTTCATTATACTGTTATTTAATTGCTGCATCCCTTCTCTCAGTTCCTTTTCTTTCTTCCATCTGCACCGCAGAAGACCAAGAATCTTAAGCAAAATTGAAAGCAAAGAAAGGGAAATGAATATACTTCAGCAAGTGGGACTCCGGGAGGAAGGAATATGGACCCCGTCAGGAAGGGGAAATTAGGATTAGGAGATTGAAGAACCAATTGATCAAAGGCTAAATAAAGAAATTACATACGACAGGTAGGGCAGGAGCAGACAGTTTAAAAGAGCGGAGGGAGTATGTAAAAAGGATGACGACTTTGAGGAATTAGCCAAAAAGCTGTTCCTACCCTCTCTTCATATGTGAGTAGCTTTATTGTGGAGGGTCACTCTCAAGTACAGGACAGCTTACTGTGCAAAAGGAGGACATAAAAAAAACCCTAAATTATTTCTTTTTATGAGCCATCACCGCTGGGAATGTTTGGAAAGGTACTGACGCAGGGAAAGCTGGCTGAGTTACTCATTAGGTACAGACCTGTAAAGCACCCCAGTTAATGGGATCTGCAGGGCTGCTGCAAAATACTTCCCTTAAAAGTAAAACAGGCCCTACCTGTCTGTCAGCACCCTTTGAACAAAGCGCTGCATAAAGAGCGGTGCAAGGCACAACTCATTTGTTCTTTTAAGAACGCCACAGCAGAGTGTTTCTCAGGAGGCTATTAAAAAAGTAATTGCTTGTGGGATGCAAGATAAAGCCACGCATGGAAAGTGTTGACGAGGCAGTGGAGGAACATGAGGGACAGGGGTAGGTTTTTGGCTGGGATGAAGGTCAGCTCCAGAGGCTGGTGCCCACGTTCCCTCCAGGAGACCGGCGTTGCGTCTCCTTTCACCAGAAACAGAAATACGCGTAATAAGACAAGTCTTGCAGGTGACTAAGTGGTATTTTGATTTCTCTAAATGAGTGAAAGCTCCGTTTATCTTTGAGAAACCTTGAGCAATGCTAAGGGGACAGGCAAGACGTGGGTACAGGACAGGCAAAACGTGGGACAGATAAAACGGAACTGCTCCTGTGCCTGGGCAGGGTCTGGACAGGTAAGATCTTGAACATCTTTGTTAGGAGCCCAGTAAAAATTTCTGCTCAGTGGGCAGCTACAGCGCGTGAAGGCAAGAGCCTTGGTTTATCCCATATCTCTGTAGGCGGTAGCTGGTGCCCAGAAGTGGTGTTGCTCTGGGCTCCTTGTGCAGCCGTGGGAGAAAAACAGCACGAGGCAGCGGTTCCTCCCCTTTCACATCTGCCTTACCCTCGGGAGATGCCTGTGGTGTCCTCAGCTCAGGTCTTGGTAGCTTCAGTGGAAACACCTGAAATTACGTGGGATGAATCTGGGTGGGATTGTGTGTATTTCTAAAAAACAAGATGAGGAACAGTCTGGCTCCGAGAGATAAGGGGCACCTCCCTTAGGCAATGGTGAGTGCTTGGAGCCCGTTACGGCCTAACGTGTTGAGACCCGAGCACATAAATCCACCCCGGCGATCACTGTTGGAAATCAAGTCCACTGAGTACACCCTGTTCCACAGTGAGCATTGAGGGAGCATAGCTGGTGTCCTCTGAAGCACCTGGGACTTGTCCCTGCCAGATGTGGGACTGCTACACGATCTGCTGTGGCGTTTCCTAGCTCTCCTGGCTGTCTTCACGGCTTCCGTGCCTCCCTCCTGCCTTTCCTTTCCCAGATCACTCCAGTCTGTGCTCCTCCTCACCCTTGCGCGCTCTACGTCTGCTCTTGCTCCATGTACCTGGTCACATCGCCCCACTCACTGCTACAGCCGCTTCTCTCTTCACGTACAAGTGACACCGTTGTCCCCCATGGTAGGGGTTTTCACTATATTTTCCTGCATTTTAGGTCAAGCCAAAACTTTGATAAAACGCAGATGGTGCGATCCACAGCTGCGTCGGACGGAGCCAGTGGCAGGACCCCCACGCACCATGGTAGGTCGCGGCGGGGCAGAGGGCCTGGCAGACGCACACGATGATGGGTTGCGGTGCAGGGTGAAGTACGTGGCTGCTCCTCCGCGCCAGGGGCTTGCTGGCGCTGTGCTGTCTTCACGCTGGGAGGTCCTGGGGCTCTGGTTTTGTGGGAGGGATGCCGGGGGCGCTTGGTGCTGCTCCTGTTAGATGCCTCTCCCCTTGACTTACTCCACGTGTCCCTGCTGTTTGCCCTGCAGTCACAGAGGACACGCGTGACTTAGTCGCTGGCTTACCTGGTCACAGCGTGCTAGCCTGCTTCAGCCCACCGTGTTTCTCCATGTGCTGCTCTGCTGCTCCCACCAATGTCTCCTCTGTTGCCCTCTCTGAGACCAGCCCCACTCATGCCACTAACCGGACAGGTAAGTACCAGCCCAGGCACCCAGGAGGTGCTGGAACAAGGCCGAGGTGTGTCTGTCCCACCATTGCATCACCTCGTAGCCCCAGCCCCCTCTCACCTCCTGTCCTACCCCTGCCCGTTATGAAAAGGACGTGCAGCCTGCCCTTCAAAATGTGCCCGCTTTCCTCCACACCCGCTGCCTGGGTTGAGACCTGCTCCAGAGGGCAGCTGCGGGGCAAAGCGGGACTGCCAGGCTGAACAGCTTTCGCTGCCCGTGTGGCACGGCGTGGTTCAGACATCCGCGATCATAGAATCATCGAATCATTGAGGTTGGAAAAGACCTCTAAGATCATCGAGTCCAACCGTCGACCCAACACCCCCATGCCCACTAAACCATGTCCCTGAGCGCCTCATCTACCCGTCTTTTAAATACTTCCAGGGATGGGGACTCAACCCCTTCCCTGGGCAGCCTGTTCCAATGTTTAACCACTCTTTCAGTAAAGAAATTTTTCCTCACGTCCAATCTAACCCTCCCCTGGCGCAACTTGAGGCCATTTCATGCTGCCAGGGGTAAGTGGGAGCTGGAAGGTCTTTGGAGCTGCCTGCTTTGCCAGCACAAGGTCATGAGAGGCTATGCCAGGCTGGCCAGCATGCCCGAGCAGCCGTACCTTGCAGTCTGAACTCAGTGTTCTTCTTGCTTTGAGCAGGGTTTTGACAGGCCAGGAGGTGTGCTGCCTCTTTGCTGCCCAAGCAGGGTTTTTGCAAGCTCACTTGCTCCATCACCGGTCACTGTTGCAGGAGGAACAGCACCTCAGGCAGTCACTGCAGAGCCGTAACACCCCTGGAGTCATGCCTTAACCCTGCCTTAAACACCGTGCCCTACCTGAGCAGGGGGCAGTGCCCCCGCTTTGTCCCCACAGACTGCTCTAGCTTCCCTTTGCTGCGAGGATCCCACCGGCCCCTTCAGGCACAGAGGCTGGGAAGGCTCAGCTGCTCGCAGTGGGGTGATACGGGAGGTGACATGGGGACAGGACGAACCCAGAGCTGGTGGCTGTTCTCTCTGCACTGGTCCCGGAGGTCGGGAGTGCTGCCAGCCTCTCTCTGCCTCTCAGCACCACCTTTCTCTCCCTTCTCTTTGCAGACCAAAGTCAGACCTCACTCCTGCCAGTGACAAATATCAAAGCCAAATCCAGGGGCATCACCGGGAAAGCGACCTCCTACACCAAGTGGCCAAAGACGCCTGACAGGTCTCAGAGCTTCGGCAGCCCCAATGCCAGCCCCTCCTCCCCCTTCACCCACATCCAGGGCAAATCCAAGTACATCTCCAACCTCTCGCTCTCCCGCAGCAACTCCCCGCTGGGGCAGGCCCGGCAGCAGCGCAGCATCAAGCAGCCGGTGAGCGAGTGGCCCCGCACGGAGGATCCCGGCACGGATGGTAGGTGGACCCTATCTTCTTCCCTCCCTGCAGCGGCACCGTGGTCCTGGGTTCTCTCCTGGGGGTATCCTCAACCAACTGGGTCTCATCTGTCCTGCACAGCTCTCACTGTGTCCCCATCCTGCGGCTTGTTTGCCCCCAGCTCTCCCAGTGCAGCCAGATTCAACCTCCAGCCCTGCCCTTCCTACCCCATGCTGCCCTACGCTTTCTGGCCGTATTAGCCAGTTGCTAGTTCCCTTCTGAGGCTGCTGTACCAGCATCTCCGTTCTTACCCCCATCTCGGCTTGCTCAGCCATTTCTAAATCAGATCTAGAGGAAGAAATGCACAGATTCAGTCACGCTGGCAGCAGAGAGAAAGGAGTGTCGATGACCAGCCTTTGGCATAGTCTGGGGCACCCCTTCCCCTGGCTCTCCGTGGCTGGACATGGTGTTAGCGCAGTCTTGCAGCAATCTGAGCCCCTCTCTGATGACAGGGTGATGAGGAAAGGCGGTCTCAGTGCCAGGCGTCCCTCCCAGCCCTTCTCGCTCGGGCTACCCCAGCTGCCGTCCCTTTGCTGTCCCTAAATAGCCCGTTCTCCCACCCGCAGGGCCAAGCCCAGTGCTGCACTCTGTCCGGATCGTGGAGATCAACATGGCCATCCAGTCGCAGTACTGCGCAGCCGCCGACGCATGCAGGTGAGCGAGGCAAGGCCGGCTGCCAGCACTTTGGTGGCAGCAGCACGGTGGGAGCTCCAGGGGAAGCAGCAGATGGGCAGCTCCTGGAGCCTTGGGTCGTTTTCTACCATCACCCCAAGGCAGCCCGTGCTGCTCCTTGGACAGAGGAGCTGGGGCTCCGAGTCCTTCCCTCAGAGCGCGGGAAGATTGCGTTTGATGATGAGCTTGTCCTTGGGAACCAGCCTGGGAAGCCCTCCCCCTCCGAAGTCTCAGCCCAACAGAGACTTTGGGTCCTGTCCTGGCCATCTCAGAGCCGCCTGAAATGCTGTGGTGAGGTCTAATGCTCTCTCTGTGTCCCCAGGACTGGAAACTTCACCTACCGCATCCCTGTCAACCAGCTCACAGCAGTGAACACCAACCTGACCCTGGAGATGAAGTGAGTGGACAGGGCTCATCTCTTGGGTGTTTCGGTACCCCTGAAGTCAGCTGGATGCTGTGCCATGTAGCCATGGTGTCTCCTGCCTGAGCTGGGGAGGGGACAGCAGGGTCTTACTGTGTCTTGTCTCCTCAGCTCCTCCTCTGCTGTGTCCGTCTCCCTTTGTGGCCTTGTCTCCAGCGACCCCTGCCAGGATGCTGCGAGCACGAACAGCTCCACCGATGCCACAGACGCACAGGTAGGGAGGGAGGGAGGGAGGGAGGGTACGGCTCACAAAATCCACACGCGTTCTGTCATCCCAGCACAACACCGATCCCTCCAGAAGGGACTACAGCAGGGCAGCACGGGAGTTGCTGGAGGGAATTCATGCTCAAACGTAGCCGTGCTCCGCACTGGCTAACGTCAATGACCCTCAGACATCCCTGCAACCCTAACAGGGAGGTGTCTGTAAACCTGATACGTGGAATCATAGAATCGTTTAGGTTGGAAAAGACACTTAAGGTCATGGAGTCCAACCGTTAACCTAACGCTGTCAAGTCCACCACTACACCATGTCCCGCAGCACCACATCTACAGGTCTTTTCATTACCTCCAGGGGTGGTGACTCAACCACTTCCCTGGGCAGCCTG